AGCAAAACAACCTCCTGAAGGATAACCCCGCCCACCTTCAGGACTATGCCTCCCAGTGTTTTTTCTAGGTATACAGTTTTAGTGTTTACACAGCAGTGCTATTCCTGAATTATTCTGAACAGTATATTGGAACATGAAAAAGGGCAGGTATCCCATCAGCAGTGGAAGACAGGCCCTCTAGAAAGGAAAAGAATCCTTTCTCTGTCCCCTGCAGTGACTCCCGGCTTTCTGGCAGTGAAATAGCAGTGCCCCAAGGAGCTGTCCCTGGCACTCTGGTACCTGTCATGTCTGAGTGGGGTTGGGCAGAGGTCAGAGCTTCTGTCGAGTCCCAGGGGGTGGACTGCAATCCTGAGCGTTCTGGGGTCCCAAGAGATGAGAGGGCCCAAGGATAGGCCCTGGGAAAACAGACAAGGCTTTAAAACGTCAGACCACCTCTTCTACCCCACCTCCTCCTTTAAACTGGGGTCCGGACACTCCAAAGACGGTGCATAGGAGCCTGTGCACCTGCTTTCCCCTCTCCTGCTGAGGAGGAGGAGGAGGATGCTAATTCAAGTGGCCGGGTAGCCCACAAAAGGGCACCTTGGGCCCTGGTTTCTACAGAAACGCAGTCATTCCTTCGTCTCTCAACGCATTTCCTTGTCCCCTGACGAGCTCTATGCTTGGAGGGGTGGACGGCTCTAACTTCTGTTCCCCTCTCCCCTTTGGTCAACCAGCAAGCTCGGCCGGGTAGGTGTGAGCAGGACAGCGCGGAGTACTGTATGCTAATTCTTCGCAGGCCTCATCCCACTAATCCTCACGTCCACCGCACCAGGTACGAACTGACCCTATTTCCCATGAGACCGCCCGCAGTGTGATTAGCCACACCAGCTCCGGATTAGGGACCCAGGGCTGCTGTGACAAAGTACCACAGACCTGGCTGCTTAACAGACAAACGTTCATTTTCTCACGGCTCTGGAGTCAGAAGTCCGGAGCAAGGCGCGGGGGAGGGCCGGGAGCCGAGGAGCTGCCCCAGGCCTCTCTGCTGGGCCTGTGGGTGCCGTCTTCTCCCCGTGTCTCTTCACCGCGTCGTCCTGTGTGTGTCTGTGGGTCTCTGTGTCCTAATGTCCTCACTTTATAAGGACACCAGTCATATTGGAGGAGGGCCCACCTGCATGACCTCACTTTAACTTGGTTGCATCTGTAAAGACCCTGTCTGCAAAGGTCACAGATTTAAGTCCCGGGGGTTAGGACACCAACATATCTTTTTTAAAAAAATTTTTTTTCCTTTATTGATTTTATTTATTTAATCCTCAACCCAAGGACATTTTTTTGTTCAGATAGAGTGGGAGGGAGAGGAAGAGAGAGAAACATCGACGTGAAAGGGACACATCGAGCGGCTGCCACCCGCATGACCAACCAGGGCGGGGACAAACTGCAACCGAGGTATGTGCCCTTAGAGGGAACCGAACCCGGGTCTCTTTGGACCGCAGGCCAACGCTCTAACCACTTAGCAAACTGGCCAGGGCCCTTTATTGATTTTAGAGAGAGAGAGAGAGAAACATCGATGAGAGAGAACAATAATTGGCTGCCTCCTGCATGCCCCCCACTGGGGATTTGACCCACAACCTGGGCATGTGCCCTGACCATGAATAGAACCAGTGACCTCTTGATGCATGGGTCGACGCACAACCACTGAGCCACATCGGCCAGGCCCAACATATCTTTTTTGAGGGGGACGTGATGCAGCTTGTAACCAGCTGTGGAGTCAGATGGGCCTGGGCTGGCAGTGTAGCTCTATCACTTACTGGCCACTTGATGTATTAAACCTTGGCTTCCTCTTGTCAGCAGGGGAATACTATCTCCTGTGTGGGCTGCTGCCTGAGACTCAGTGAGATGTCTGGCACTTCACCGGGTGCTAGCTGGCCCTCCTGGTAGTACCGAGGCAGCCCCTCCACACAGGCCCCGTGCACCTGCCTCCCCTGTGGCCATAGCGGACCTGGCCGTGCACACAGATGCTTCCCTCATTCAGCACACGCACCTCCTCTGCCGGGGATTCTCGGTGCTCTGGGAGCGAGCGTGCTCAGCCCACACAGGACAGTCCTAAAGTGCCATTTAATGCCTCTGGGAGCAACCCCGAGCCCCAAGGTACAGGGACAGTGGTTAAATACTCCAGCTTCTCCATAACGGTCATTCTCCAGTGTATGCCACGTGGGTCCCAGCGGGACTGGACTCCAGCTGCCCGCAGCGGTAGTTACCGCGGCCTCCATCGGCTGGTCAGCTTTCCTGGAATTAGTCTTCCGTTCATGCTTCCTGAGGTCACCTCCCAGATAAACTCTCTGTACCCAAGTCTTTGCTTCGAGGTCTGCTTTTGAGGTACCCTGAGATAATGAGGAGACAAGGCTCAGAGAAGCTGAGTGGCCTGGGCACACATTGAGGGAGTGGTGGGCCCGGGATTTGAACCTCGACTTCTTTGGCTCCCAAGCCATGGATCCAATCACCATATCACCTCACCTCCAGTCCCGAACGCCTGCCTGTACCTGTCTTCCCTCCTTCTGTTTGTGCTCTCATACTTTCACCCTTGGTAAGAAAGCCATTTTATAGAAAAGGAAAATGCTTTCTCCTTTTCTATCCCGAGAAACATAACCGAACCCAGACCTCCTGCCTTTGCCCTTGATCTCCATGCCGCCCCCACTCCAGAGTGGGAGACCGGAGAGGACCCATGAGGGGACCCTGCAATGCCCGATGTGGCCAGGAGTGAAGCCAGCTCAGCTCATTTCTCAGCCCAGGGGCATTTGCCTGGGTCAAGCCCTGAGCTGGGCATGGCCAATAAAAAGCTAACTAGCCCTGATCCTGCCCTGAGCAAGTGGACAGTTTTATAGAAAAGAGCCTCAGTTTCCTCATCTGGAAAATGGGAATAATAATAGCTCCTACATCAAAAGGTTGTTGTGGCTCTGGCCAGTTTGGTTCAATGGTTAGAGCGTCTGCCTACAGTCCCAAGAGACCTGGGTTCGGTTCCCACTAAGGGCATGTACCTCGGATGCAGTTTGTCCCCGGCCCTGGTTGGGTTGTGTGGGTGGCAGCCACTCGATGTGTCCCTCTCGCGTCAATGTTTCTGTCTCTCTCTCTCCCCCTTCCACTCTATCTGAACAAAATGGAAAAATGTCCTTCAGGTGAGGATTAAAAAAAAAGGTTGTTGTGAAGATTAAATGAGGTTATATGAGTACTGGGCTTGGCATACACACACTAAGGCCCCAATAAATCATAGTTGTTATTACAAGAGTTAAATTGAAATACAAGGTTCTTGTTGTGGGGAGGACAGAAAAGAGCTGTTATTTTTGTCTTGGAAAATCAGAAAGTGGCAATTTAAGCTGGATCTTGATGAGGAGTATGAGTTGGGACTCTTAGCTGCTGGTAACCATGATGTTCATTGAATGAGGAGAGCCTGTCCAGGAGACAGAGTGATAAACAAAGTCTTGATTACCTTATTCGAGCACCTGGATGCAGCTATGCCTGAAGGCGGGACTTCTATCGTCACTTAAACAAGTGTGTGTTAAATCCTTGGCTTCTCTTTGTATGGGTTCTCTTATCGGTCAACAGACTTTTAATGTTTCAACTGTTCTCCTTCTAAGACCACATTCTAATGTTACCAACAATGTCTAGCACCACTGGCTATCTAGTTCTACCCACTGTGGCCCTGGAATCTTCCAGCTGCGGACTTAGGTACCATGGAGCAGAGATGAGCCATCCCTGATGTGTCTGGTCTCAATTCTTGACCCACAATATCCATGAGCCTAATAAATATGGGTGCTTTGTGTCATCAGGATGGTTTGTCACATAGCAGGAGTAACTGAAACTCTCTCCCACCCTCTATGCCCCTTGTTCCTGAAGAAGAAGAAAACTTGAATGCATGACACAAATAAATAATCTTTAATGCCAACAAATAGCTCCCCAGTATACCAGACAATATGCTGCGGGAAAAGATACAGAAGCGTCCAACAGAGAGATCTAGTCTAACTACGCTAATTCCTTAGCACAAGAGAAGTGACTCTGCTTCACACAAATACAGAAAGATCCTCAGAGTACGACAAGGAAAGAGGTCACCCTGGAGGAGGGTGTGGTGGATGCGGTGGCCATTTCAATCCATGTCACTGTCCATTGCAGCTCCTCTGTGAGTCACCATCACCATGATTTTGTCAAAATACGTTGCTTTTTGCTCTATCGTGTTCTATTTTCTTGACATACTTGCACACTACTGTTACTAAGGTGGGGTCTTGACAGACAGCAGGACACTGGGTGAAACGTCACTGACGGGAGAGGCAGAGAGAAGGGACTGCTCAGGATGGAGGTCCCGGCCCACTGCCGTGCTCTCCAAGGGGACACACAGGCACACACGTCCACCTGGAGGGCACACGCACAAGAACATCCACATACATACCCACAGGGAGTGCCCAGGAACAAGCGAACACGAGGAAGAATTCAGTTAAGCCAGGAGAGGTTTCTTACACTGCAGTATGTTTTGCTGCTGACTAGTTCTCCACATAGTCTAATCTATATGTCACATCCACAGAACAGAAGACAGAGTACTTACACTTTGGAGGAAGGTATCAGGTTCAAGAACCCCAGGGAACAGCAGCCTGTTCCAAAGTCACCCAGTGGGTGTGCATTTTGGGTGAAGGGATTGGGCCTCCCCCACACTGGTCAAACGCTTGGAAAAGATCCTCCTGATGGAGGCCGGCGCCCCTCGGGAGGCCCTTTCTCTGGCTTGCAGGTTGAAAGTGCATTTGGGGGGTGGGGGGTATTAACAAGAGCAGGCACTGCCAGTAAGTCTCACCGCAGTGCCCACTCAGCTGGCGGCACACGGATGGGGCTTCCGGAAAGTTCTCAGGCCTCGTTATCTTGTGATCAATAGTCAGCTTCCTCTCAGTTCTGAGAGGATTTGGTGTGTGTGTGTGTGGTGAGTGTGTATGTGGGTGTGGACGTAATAGGTAGAGGACGCATTTTTGTCTTATTTTTTCTTTTTTACAAACGACACGTGCCTTCCCTGCAGCCCTCAGGTCACCTCCAGCGAGGCAGGAGACACGCGGTCACACTCGGCCCGGGACCGTAGGCTGTGCCACTGCTCCACGGCCGTGCGGTGGGTGTTGAGCATGCGCCGCCAGTGGTTGGATTCAGAGGGGCCCGAAGAGTACTGGCCGATGACGATCCTGCCGATGAAGTCGTTGCTGCTCTTCATGTTGTGACCAAACACTAGAGAGCCACAGGGATGGCGGGGTGGGGGTGGGGGTGGGGGACAGAACAGTGAAAAGGTTAATAACATTTTAAAGGGTAAAGGCAAAAGCGTGCAAAAGGCGGAAACTGCGAAAAATGCGTCGCTTGCATGACCTTTGCTCAGCCTTCTGTTGAGTGAGGACTGTCCGGATTATCCGCGAGACCATGCGTCACCCAGCAGACGCGGGATGACATACCAGACCAGTCCAGCTGCAAAGCGGACAGGGGGCCAGGCAGAGTACGTCAGCAGGAACTGCCGGAAGCTAGAAGCAGAGCGTATAACCTACACCTCAACTGTTATTGGAGGCTGACCCCTTTTTTGGGCTCAGCCCACCTGTCCCCAGGCACATGCAAGAAAATCGTTTTGCTCTACATTGGCCTGGCCTTGCGGATGGGATCTCCCGTCCTCAGATCTTTTAAACAGGAGGCAGGAACAAGACAGAGGCCATTAGTCTACACATTCCTCAACTGCAGACACAGGGTCCTCGCTTTTAGGACACATCTGTTTCTTTGAAGGGTGAGAATTCCCGATTCCCTCGGCTGGTTCCCCACAGGCTCTCTGCTCCATTGGCATCGGCTCTCCTGCCGTCTCTCACCACGCCAGGCCCGCCCTGCCTCCCGGCCCCGGCAACGGCTGTTCCTTCTGCTGGAGAGCTGCTCCCCCTGCAATGAACTTGAAACATGTCTGGTTGCCTCGCTGCCTACAGAGCTCAATGACTGGACAGTTCGAGTGAGCAGTCAGCCACTACTGAGTCCAGCGGAGTAGTCACACCAGGGTTTCTCAGTCACGACACTGCTGACAGCGGGGGCTGGGTCATTCTTAGCTGTGGGGGTCCGTCCTGACTGCAGGAGGTTAGCAGCCCCTCAGGCCACTGCCTGCTGGACACCCCTAGCACTCCTCCCCCCGTTGTCATGACCCAAAATGTCTCCAGACATGGCCAAATATCCCCTGGCGGGGGGGCCAAGTCACTCCAGATGAGAACCACTAGGTGAAGCTGTGGGTCACGGGGCCAGCTGTCCTATGTGAATCCTGGGATCCTGAGGCAAGTGAAGGAACCACTTGAAACTCAGTGTCCTCGTTGGTTCAGGTGCAATCTTAACAGTACTTTACCTCGCATGTCGTCGTGAGGTTCTGATGAGACCATGTGTGCAAAGCTCTCAGCACACACTGCCTACTAGCGCACAGCAGGCACTCACTTAATATACTGCTATTTCGCATCTACATTTGTCTGTTGACCTTTTTACTCGTTTATTGTTTATTTTTTTCCTTTTTATTGAATTCACTGGGGTGACACTGGTTAACAAAAATTATACAGGCTTCAGGTACACAACACATCATCTGTATACAAATGAAGTCTCCGTCTCTGTTGATTTTTTTATTATTATTATTTTCTCTATTGATTTTAGAGAGAGAAGAAGGGAGAGGGACAGAGATAGAAACGTCGATGAGAGAGAACATCGATTGGCCGCCTCCTGCATGCCCCCCACTGGAGACTTGGCCCACAACCTGGGCATGTGCCCTGACCGGGAATTGAACTGGCGATCCCTTGGTGCCTGGGTTGATGCCCAACCACTGAGCCACACCAGCCGGGCTCTGTTGACTTTTTAAAAAAGAGACTTCCAGTTTGCTCTGCTCCAGGCAACAGAGGCAAGTTTCCTGAGGGAAATGGCTGTGGCAGTTTCTTCTGTCCCTCGCTGTACTGTGTATCTCTTTGGAAAGCTTTTCTGTTAATTCCAATGCAAGCTTAATTTGTGTCTTTCAAGCCTAATGAGACAGTTAGCTTGATTTATCTTCCCCGCCAAGTTCCGCCTAATTCTTTATCTGCGTGTGGCTAGGCCGGGCCTGCCATCTCGCTACCGGGAAAGCAGGCTGCGTCTGCGTTATAAATGACCGACTACAGAACGGGACGTATCACAGATTCACCCAGCGTGAGCCCAGCAAAGGCGGGCTGCATCCCAGGAGGGAAGCCATTATCAAATAAACCGGCTAAAATATGCAGCCCCATACAGAGCTTGAATGCTAATGAGCCTCTGTTCGCCCCTGTGGGGTTCACATCAAGAATTCCAAATGATAAAAAAAAGGGATGGGGAGAAAAATGGAAAAACAAGAACAAAAACCTCGTCATCCATTGTCTAAAATCCAAAAAGACCTAGCATGAACTGAGCTGGGTGAACTAGGCCGAGCGAAACGCTGCACATCTCGATCAAGAGTGTCCTGTGCTGCCCTGGCCGGTTTGGCTCAGCAGTTAGAGCGTCGGCCTGTGGACCAGAGAGTCCCGGGTTCAGTTCCCGCTAAGGGCACGTACCTCGGTTGTGGTTCGTCCCCGCCCCAGTTGGGGTCGTGTGGGTGGCAGCCACTCAATGTGTCTCTCTCACATCGATGTTTCTCTCTCTCTCCCTCCTGCTCTATCTGAAGATAAATGCAAAAAATAAATAAAAATAAATGTCCTCAGGTGAGAATAAAAAAAAACAGAGTGTCCTGTGCCTGTCAGCTCCGTAGACAAAAATCGGACCATGTACATTTTTTGTACATTTGGTAAATGCTCTATGGATAGGTGGACCTCATTTCATGAAAGTTAGGAATGGAATCTTTGCTTAATAAAGAAAAATTTTTAGGAGCTTTCTGATGCTTGAGAAAAAATTGTTTTTGAATGAGTAACACTCAGGACTGTTTTGAACCACACCTGGTGGGGAGTGTAAGGTTTGATCTCACCAAATGACAGCAAGTTACCAGAGTCTCCTTCTCTGTGGGCTCCAATCTAAAGCAAGATACTACTATGTTTTAATTTTTTTTTTTAGCAAGATATATTATGAGACCATGTTAGGCCCCATTTGATTTTCTTCCATGGAGGCAAATTATTCTCTCTTCCTCTGCCTCACCAAAGCACAAATGAAAATGCAGAAACATCTTAGTAAATAAGTACAGGTTTTGCTTCCCTAGGAAAGGGGTTTTAAGATAGGAAATCTTGCCCTGGCCAGTGTTGCTCAGTGGTTAGCGTGTCAGCCCACACACTGAAAGGTCTTGGGTTCGATTCCTGGTCAAGGGCACGTATCTGGATTGCAAAAAATGGGAAGAAAATCTGAAACACTATCATGTATTCTTGGTGAAAGAGAAAGTCAACTTTTGAGGGAAGTTCAAGTATCTTCTCAAAAAAAACCCACCTGTCATAAGTCATGATCCAGCAATTCTACTTCCAGAGATTTACGCCATAGAATTCTCTGCACAAATGGACAAAGACATCCATACGAGGATCTCTTCTGCAGCAGAGGTTCGCAAACCAAAGCCCCCCAGTCAGATCTGGCTGCCACCTGTGTGTTGTGTTTTATGGGGACAGGCGAGCCCCCTGTTTACATTGTGTCCACGGCTGCCTCTGCACAACAGCAGTGCAGCTGAGCACTTTCAACAGACACCGTGTGGCCCAAAGCGGAAAACATTTACTAGCTGGCCTTTTACGAAACCTTTGCTGTTCCTGCTCTAGAATATCGCTTATGAGAATGAAAAATGGAAATAACAAAAATGTCCATGAGGAAGTGTGACCAAGGCGTTGGTGCCCTGCTGACCCCCTCAGCCCACCCTGTAGGGTACCCACAGCTTCCGTGGGTAATGTCCTCACGAGCACCCACGGTTCTTAGCCTGGGCCATGCCAGTCTGTGCTAACAGTGTGATTTATGGTGGGGGACCATGGGCTGCTCAATGTCAACTTGACTTCGGAAAAGGTGGGAGACTAGGGCAAGCCACTTGGACGGTCAGTCGTGCCTATGTGACTGACCCCCAATCGATATCCTGGACACCAAGGCCCACGTGAGTGTCCCGATGGCAGTACTCCCAGAGCGTCACTGCACACTGCTCCTGGGAGGGCCGGGTGCTGTCCACAGGACTCCTGGAGGGTGCGACCGGCACTGGTGCCTGGGCCCTCCTGGACTCTGCCCTGTGCGCCTTTTCCCTTTGCTGCTATTAGTCTGTATCCTTTGGCTGTGATAAACTGTAACCATGAGTATAACAACTTTTCTGAGTTCTGAGTCCTACCTTCTATCACGTCACTGAACCTGATGGGGGTCTTAGGACCTCCTGAGCTGCGGTTACGCGTTCATCAAAGGTCCCTGGCCGGCCTGCCTCCCTTCCCCACTCGCTTCCCGAGTTTCCGGGATCACCTTCCTAGTCGCCTGCCTGCACCCAAGTCATTGCTTTAGGATCAGATTTGGGAGGCACCCAGCTTAGGACTGGAGGGGACTAATTAGGTAATTTCTGATGTAACAATACCATGGAAACCGATGTTAAAAATGAGACAGATCTCTATATACAAATGGAAAAATCTCCAAGACCTACTGCTAGGAGACAAAAGCAAGTTGCAAGACAATACACGTCAACACAATCTCTTTTTGCTAAAAATACATTAATTTATAGAACAGAAAACAATGTCTGGAGGAATGTTCAGCAAATTGTTAAGCGTGGCTCTCTCCAGGGAAGAAAGCGGGGAACCTCCACTTTCTGTCTTACGTTAGTATGTACAGTCTGAACGTCTTACAACAAGTGGATATTATTATGGAAGGGAAACAAAGGCAAAAAATAACTTGCTGTTAGAGAATCCACATCGGACTCGCCAGAAGGGAAGACTGGAAGGAAGTCCTGTCCTACGCTACTCATCCCAGTCTGCAAAGTAACTCGTGAGTCACTGGGCCCTCGCAAGGTGGGAGGGATTCAGCCTCTCTGCAGGGAGCAGCCTCGGCACCTGCAAATCGCTTGGTCAACTTATGGCAGATCAGCTGGAAAGTTTTAAAATCTTTGAAAAACCAAACATTTAAAATGCAAATTGTAATAAGCTGAAGCTGAACAAAACTCATGACTTTTATTATAAAAGCTGCCTGGGAGAATGTCAAGGTTTGCCATCACTGTAAATTCTAGGGAGTGTGTTGCTGGAGGACTGAAGACTGGATACTTGAAGAATACAGACAGGGGCTCAGAGACGGGGGGCTAGGTA